TCTATAAGACTCACAAATCGGACTAGAGCGTCCTGAAGCACTGGAGTAGCTATAAATCCCTCCGGGACCTGAACTGATCCAACCGGTACATCTGAACGGAAACCTCCTCCTGAAGATCCACCTGAGGTTCTATAACAGGTGCTGCTACTCGAGCTCTTGACTGAGCTCTACCTCTGCCTCTGCCTCGGCCTCTAGCACGACCTCGGCCTCGACCTCTACGCTTGGCCATAGTTGCCACCGGGGGCTCTGGTCCCTGTCCGTCGGTAGGTGTATTACATGTCCTCGCCATCTGCGAGAGAATAAGAATAGAATGGTTCAATCATCGATGATAGAAGAAAATCACACGACAGAATAAGAAAGAAGTGATATTGTTCCTAAACTTCATAGCCTCTGAGAGATAAGTACAGACATCTCCGTACCGATCCTTTAGACTCTACTAAACTTGCTCGTGACTCGTGAGACCTATGTAACCTATTGCTCTGATACCAACTGTCACGACCCAAAATTCCTACCTTCGAGACCAGGATGGCGCATAACATTTCACTTGCTAGGCAAGCCAACGTTAGAATAATATTATCCATTTTAAAACAATTTTTAAATTGATTAATAACAAAGAAACAAATGCGAAAGTAAAGTCTGAAATGTAGTGAATAATTCATAAAAATAGCGATGTCTAAATACTATCCCAGAACTGGAGTTACAAGTGCACGAGCTTCTAGAATAATAGAAATAAAGGTCTGAATAAAATAAAGTTGTATGAAAGCAAACGCACAGCTAAAATAAAGTAGACGGGGACATCAGAACTGCGGACGTTGTGCAGTTATACCTCAAGTCTCCTCTGAGTAGCTAAAATCCGAGCAAGTATATGGTACGCCGCTAGGACCAACTCCGAAATCTGCACAAGAAGTGCAGAGTGTAGTATCAGTACAACCGACCCCATGTACTGGTAAGTGCCGAACTAACCTCGATAAAGTAGTGACGAGACTAAGGCGGGTCACTTACATTAACCTGTACGCAATGATAGTAATAGCAACAATAATAATAACGGAAATATTAGTAAGACCAGTAAATAATATTAATAATTGAAATCAACTCAGCAGTCACAATTCCTCAACTTGTTTCCATTGCGGCGTGCAACCCCTTTACCCAATATAGACTTTTAAATAAGTCTGTTGCGGCATGCAATCCGATCCCCCAATATAAACTTTTAAATAAGTCTATTGCTGTGTGCATCCGATCCCCCAGTATAGACTTTTAAATAAGTCTGTTGCGGCGTGTAATCCTATTCCCTAATATAGACTTCTAAATAAGTGTATTGCGGCGTGTAATCCGATCCCCAAATATAGTTACTTTCATTTCCGTTGCGGCGTGCAACCCGCTCCTCCAATATATTCATTTACCAATTCTTATAACAGAAATTGCCCAAATAAATGCAATAATTAATATGAAATTATAAGACAACAAGCATACAATAATGATGATTTATTTATGAAACAAACAATGACAAGTAGCAATTTATTGTGGAAATCAGAGAGAAAATAGACAGTTTAATATTTAATATGCTAAATGTCAAGTAGCAATTAAGACACATAAATAATATAAGCATGTAACAATTATTGCAGAAATTCAAGAATTAATATTTGACAAAGAATATGATAGAAATAATTATTATAACAATTAATTCGTGTCTTAAAATAATTTAAGATGCTTAAATAATTAAGCAACCAATTAAATTGACAAAGTATAGCACTTGTCACCTTACCTATATATCGTTGCACATGAAATTCACATAGCAAATAATTCAGGCGTTCTATTCCCTCAAGTCAAGGTTAACTACGACACTTACCTCGCTTTGCAACCAAATTTTAAGAATCCAATAAACCTTTGCCTCGCGAATTCGTGTCCGAAATCCTCAAATCTAGTCATAAACAATTCAATATACTCAATACAAATCGTAGGAATTAATTCCATATGAATTTACTAATTTTTCGGATTAAAATCTGAAATTCATCTCAAAAATCGACAGTGGAGCCCACGTTTCGAATCTCGGAAAAACTTACGAAATCCGAATGCCCGTTCCGAGACGACCATACAAAAATTACCAAATTTCTATGTCAAATGGACCTTCAAATCTTAATTTTACATTTTGAAAGTTTTCTTCAAAATCCTCATTTTCCTCCACTCAAGACTCTAATTCGATGATAAAAATAAAGATATAATCATGGAATATAATAAATTTTGGGTGAAGAACACTTACCCAATCGATTTGCTTGAAAAACCCACGAAGAATCTTCCAAAACCGAGGTCTAAAACTCAAAATGTGAAGAAAATTGTGAAACTCTCGAATATAAACTCTCTGCCCAGGACTTCCTCATCTGCGGACAAATAAGCGCATCTGCGCTATTGCATTTGCGGGCAGACGTTCACATCTGCGAACTTGAGTTACCAAGCTTGGGTCCGCATCTGCGGACAATATAGTCGCACCAACGGTGCCGCAGAAGCGAGAACAGGAGCGCAGAAGTGACTCCTTCATAGAAGCGATCGATGAATCGCAGAAGCGGCCACGCACCTGCGGCCAAAATTGCGCAGGTGCGAAATACCAAAACCAAACCTGCAAGTTTTTACAAAAATGATCCGAAACACGTCCGAAACTCATCCGAGCTCCTCGGGACCTAATCTAAATATCCTAGCAAGTCCTGTAACATAATACGGACTTACTCGGGGGTCTCAAATCACATCAAATAACATCGAAATTACAATTCACACTTCGATTCGAAATTTTAAGTTTTAAACTTCTCCATTTTCAAAACTTGTGCCGAAACATGTTAAATGAATCCGGAATGACTTCAAATTTGGCACACAAGTCATAAATGACATAACGGAGCTGTTCAAATTTTCAAAATCGGATTCCGATCCCGATATCAAAAAGTCAACTTCGTGGTCAAACTTGAAAATTTTTAGCCTTTAAATTTCTAGTTTTCGTTAAATAGTCATAACTTGAGCTAGGGACCTCCAAATTAAATTCCGGGCATACGTCCAAGTCTCAAATTACGATACGGACCTAGCGGAACTGTCAAAATACTGATCTGGATCCGTTTGCTCAAAATATTGACCAAAGACAATTTAATTGAGTTTTAAAGCTCTATTTCATATTTTAATCTATTTGTCACATAAAAATTTTCGAAAAATTATACGGACTGCACATGCAAATCGAGGAGCGATAAATAGTTTTTTTTCAAGGTCTTAGAACATAGAATTAATTATTAAATTTAAAGATGACCTTTTGGGTCATCACATTACTACCCATGTGGAGGGGTATCTGAGTGTTTACACTTACCCCTTTACACTGGGCCCAGTTATTCTGGACTTTGTAGGAGGTATGAAGTGTGCCTCGGTCAGATCCGCCCATCGCTGTGGAGGATCATAATCCTCCTCCGATTCTTTGTGAACTAAATCGACTCCTGCCTGTTCACCATCAACCATCTACTCCGCCTATACAGTCCCCGAATCTTCCAGAGGGGAGGGGGAGGGACTGATAAAGCTCGTACGACGGGCCAGCAAAGACCCATTTTCAAGCATCGACGAGGACCGGGATTGGGGTTGGTAGGGATGCTTTGTCGGGGTGAGGACCACATACTTGATCCCTACCGAGTTCAGGCCATTCTATGAGAAGTGGAATATATCAGTAAGCATAACTGTCACGACCCAAAATCCAACTAGTCGTGATGGCATCTAACCTCACCCGCTAGGTAAGAGAAATAACAATAATTCAATTTAATTATTATTTAAATGACTCTAATACACTCCCCAAGGACTGGTAGTACAAATCATAAGTTTCTAAGATTAGAATTTACAAAGCTGGTATGAAATAAATATATCACCTATTTGAAATGTACATAAACAGATTTTTTATAAATCTAAGGCTACCATGAACAAGAGGCAGCTACGACCGGAACACAGGTACATCTTCAAATCCAGCTCCCGTCGATCACAGCAAATAAAGGAAGTCTAATGGAGCTATTCAAAGTTTCGGAACACAGAATGAAGGCTAAACTGAAGATGACCTATCGGGTCATCACACTCTTCCTCTGTAAATAATTTGTTGATTAGTTGGAATAACTTCATGTACTAATGTCCCGTCGAGTGCACCTATTGCTCCCTGCAAATAAAAAATAATAATTTTATGTTAATAGTTATGAATTCTTTTCTTACAAAGTTATATAATATTTTTATAGCACATAATACCTTAAAAACTTTTCATGACTTTTTATGAGCACCTGGAATATGTGGATTTGAATCAGATATTGTAGATGATATCATCTCTTTTGCAAATAACATCATTGCTTCAAGAAACTCATGAAAATATTTGTGAACCGTTTGCGAAGAATTTTTAAATCTTCTCTTCATAACCACAAAATGCTCATTATGACCTATAATGGTCAGAAATATTACTATCTTTTCTTCAACAAAAATATGTTTGCTATCTATGAGCCATCCTTTATGTCTAAAATGCTGACATAGCCAAACACTATGCATCATGGGATATGCGCATCAGTTCTAAACACTGTCGACTAGAGCCGGACAACAATTCATGTGTGTACTTTTTACCAGATAAAGATAATGTTAAATCTTTATTCTTTGGTTATTCTTGAGTCTAAAATAATTTTTACACCAATACAAGTTCATCAACGCTAATACTTGATCCTCAATATCCATGTCTAAACTGTTGTAACAAAGAGAATGTATAATACACAATAGTAAGCATAACATAGTATGTATTTGAAAAATATAAGAAGTTACATAATCAAAATAAATTAATTAGTAAAACAATACCATACACATCAAACATACTTCAAATAAGATATTTTAAAAAGGTATATCACAGATTAAAAATGTTTCACGAGCATAATATAATATTAAAAAAATTAAATAAGCATAATAGATAATAGTTGGAAAAATAAAAAAGGTTCCATATTCTTAGCGTCTAATTAATAATCTAGCTAATTAGCAAAATCAAAAAAGCCCCATTTTTTTCCCATGGCCTTAATCCAATTCTCTAATTTGTCAACCTTGATAATGTTCATCCATGTTTTTCTGTAGCTGTCACCTTCACAAAATATACTAACTGTTGCACTGTATAATGGTTCTTCCCATCCAAGTTCTTCTAGTTTTTCCATACACTCTTCAATGTCAGGCCCGTTATATTTTTTAACCAATAACTCTAATGCAATACTCATCTTCTCTTCAGTGTCCAATTGAGACGATGCGAATTTTTTTCTTCCCAAAGGTTTCTTTTCAATTGGAATTGAAGACTGAGATGGATAATCATTAGGAGCTCCGTCATTCTTATTACCAACTAGATCTTCGATGCTATCAAGTGTATCTACACCTATAGTAGTATATATAAAAGAGACACCAGGGAGGAGATATGTACAACTTGGACTCCAACCATGAATTTCTATTGCTATAGAACCCTCAAAAAGTTTTGTATAAAGATCTGGGAAGGGTAGAGACGAAGTCTTCAATGCCTTTGCTTTTGGATGAGCCTATAATAAAGAGATTTTTAATAGTCACGTCAAACTTTTTTCTTTGTAGAAAAAAAAAAAGAAAAAGTTAAATTACTAGATAATGAACCAACCTGTATGTACTTATCCCACTCACTATTAGACATTAGAATGCTATTGGTTGCTGGGTCATAAATATTGTCGGTCTTTTTGGTTTTTCGCAACCAAGCTTGATATTTTTCTTTTAGATAATCAAAATGATTCTTTATCTGCTTTTGTGTGACACTAAAGCCATGAGAAGTCTCCAAAACTAGTTTAACTTTGTTCCATGAATCTGCCTTTAAACTACTTCCAAGTCTCCCGTTTAAGGATATTTCTTGAATACAACTTTCTAAAAAGGTTTTTACTACATCCATATTTTTTTAACTCACTTTAGAATTTTCACTAGATTGTTCCATAGTTGAAATATAAAATAATAATGATTATAGAAAATGAACTGATGAAAATAAAAGTAACAAAACTGAGACAATCAATAAAAACAATCTACAATAAACACAGTATAATCCTACAAGTGGGGTTTGGGGAGGATAGTGTGTACGCAGACCTTACCCCTACCTTGAAGGTAGAGAGGCTGTTTCCAAAAAAAACCCGCTCAAGAAAATATGAAAAGAAAGCAGTAGCCACAGCCAACAACCAGTAAAAACAGGCGTAAGGTACTAAGTTAGACATTAACTAATTGAGCAAGGAGTTGAAACCGACATTCTTACCATTCAACTACAACTTGAATAGAAGGCTATTTAGCATAATAAGCATTGGCATGTATTACAAGATTAGTAGCTCTAGTTCAGCAAGGTTTAGAATCCTTTATCTTCTTCTACGTTTCTCTTCACAAATCGCCTATGACCTATTGACTTTCCAACAATTAAATGTTTAATCTTATAGACTAAACGCCCCCAGTTAGGTCCTGGAAAGCATCACTTGACATGTAAACTTTTTCAGACTACTGCAGTTTGCTTATGATTATGATTATAGTCTAATCCCAACTTTATAATCTCATGGAGTAACACCAAAACCAGCTTTGGTCGTTTGGGATTCAACCCGAATATGACCCTGTTCAATATATATGTCATTGCTTCTTTCATGTCGCACAAAGATAGTGTAACACGTACTATCATGATCACATTCATATCCGTATTCATCAGCCAATAACCATTTATCATTGATATTGTCTGCTCAGCAAACAGCAGTCCATATAATTGATTATGCTTTGGAAAAAAAGGTAAGAGATAGTTTTGAATGCAAAATTGGGATATACAACTCGCTGAAGGATGAGACTGATAAGCTATCACACAAAGCTAACCTTTTCCTTGTAGTTATGTTATACCTTAGCTAAGAAGCATCTATCAGAATTTGTTCTGTTGTGAAAAGACAGAAAGGAGATCTATGTCTCCCCATAAGTTAAATTGGTTACAGATAAATTTTCATCATCTGAAAGGCCAAAGCAATGAAATTTTGTTTCTCTATAATTAAACACGAGAAAATGAGAAGCCCAGGGGGGAGATGATATCACTGTTTCATTCACATTTCACTAAAAAGCTCATCATTTTATTATTCTACACATGAAAGTCAAATAACATAAGTGATAAGACAAAGAAATAGAGTTTGCAAAAATAAGCTAGCCTAGGCGGCAGAGCTAGAACTGAGTATTCTTATTGTTATTATGCTCTGCTTAGTGCCAGCATGCATGTGCTCATTTTGTTGACAACACTTTTAGGTTCTATTTTATGCTATTGGCTATAAACTCAAATCTGATTAGCTGCAAATCCCATACTTTATATTATCCAAAATTCAAAAAGTAATCAATGTATGAAGGTGCACCTGCAAAAGGGATATAATGAGAGCCTTTGAATCTGTATTTAATTTTGACTACATATTTTACACAAAAGACACAAAAAGAGGCAGCTACTAAGGTCTAAGGTCCGACTCAAGTTCAAATACTAATGCTCGAGTTCCATGTGATATTGCCGACTCACCAACACATATGTGTTTCAAATTGTCACTTCACGAAGAGGAATAGAAAGTTTAGTAAAAAAAGACGCTCATGAGATGAGGGCGAGAAGAAACTTTATAAGTTCTTTCGGAGAATAAAAATGTAAAACTTTTACATCTGCATTTTGTGCACTATCGACTAGGCCGTCGTTAAAATTGAAAAATTCTCCAAAGTGAGAAAAAGAGGAAGATATGCTACAATTAACATCAAATCTATATAAAGGAAATTTTTATCGAGAATCTATTAGCCCACGTTCATAACAAATTAGTGAAATAGAAAAAAGACAAGAGTCGCACACGAAACTGAGTCATTAATTCGATGTGACCTAAGATAATTGAAGCCTACGTCACCTGATAGAATTATGAAATCAGAGATATAATGCTCATATTATGATACTTATTAATGCCTTGGTTGAAAATTCACTTTCTGAAAAGATCGAAAACCCCTTTGCTAAGACAATCCAGAGATAAAGCTCAAAAGTTTTGTAAAACTTTCTAATTTTTCATTGTAGAACTAACTATTAGGGAATAGAATTGAAATCTTGAAGCTCAAACAAGTATTTCACAAAATAATAGGCAAGCGTATTGCGAATCCCATAAAATAATAACAAGAAATTCTAAAGGTTTTAGAACTGTTGAAGAGAACAAATTTAAGTAGACGATGAAAGACGGAGAGTGAGAGAGAGGCATGTAATTTATGCACAGAAGATGAAGAAGCGAAGCGTGAAACTTTTCTAAAATAAAGCAGTAGTTGAGCGATCTTTGCAGAAATAAAGTTGTATCGTTTTTTTCAAAGAGTCTGAACGCTGGTAGGACTTTGTTATCGATCTGACCGAATAAGATCCTTTCAGACTTATTAAGAGCTTTTAAAAGAGAAAAAAATAAATAGACTTAATGGGCTGGATCTGAATAATTAGGGTTAAGATTTAAAAAAATAAATGCACTTAATGGGCTAGATCTGAATGATTAAGATTTCGACCTCCATTAAGTGAAAACAAATGAGCTCAAATACTGATGTTGTACTATGTTCAATCCTTTTGTTAGTATATTTGCAGGATATTTTTTGTAGGAATGTACTCAATTCTGACCATGCCTTGTTGAATTTTCTCTCTTATGAAATGCCAGTCTATTTTTATATGTTTTATTATTTCATGATAGACTGAGTTGGCTGCTATTTGTATAGCAGTTTTGCTTTCACAGAAAATAGTAATCGGTTGATCAATTTTGGCATCAATCTCTTTCATTACCCCTAGTAACCAAGTTAACTCTGCAACAGTAGATGATAAGCTTATGTATTCTGCTTCAACAGAACTTCTAGATATTATAGTTTGTTTCTTGGACTTCTAGGAGACTAGTGAATCACCTACCTGGATTAGATACCCCGTGACTGATTTTCTGGTGTGTGGACATGCAGCCCAATCAGCATCACAAAAAGTTATAACTATTTTATTATTATTGTTTGACAATAGAATTCCTTGTCCTGGTTGATTCTTGATATATCTAACAATTCTTAATGCAGCTTCCATGTGAGATTTTTTAGGTTGTTGTAGATATTCACTGAGGTTCTAAACACTGAAAGATATATCATGCCTAGTAACTATTATATATAGTAGTTTGCCTAGGAGTCTTTGATAACTTCCTTGATCTGATAGCACTTCATCTTCTGCTAAGTTAGTTTTAGAGAAGTGTTCATCAAAATCTCTTGTAGTGAGCTTTATACTTGTGTCAATAGGTGTGTCAATGGGTTTAGAAGCTGCTAATCCAAGTTCAGATACAAGCTCAAAAGAGTATTTTCTCTGGTGCATCAGAATTTTCTGTCTTGATCTGGCAAATTCAATTACAAGAAAGTATTTTAGTTCCCCTAAGTCCTTCATTATGAAGGTCTGTTGTAGAGCTTAATTAGTGTCTTGCACTAGTTTTAAATTGTCTCATGCTATTAGCATATCATCTACATAAACTAACACCACAATAGTACCACTGTCAGTTTTCTTCACAAATAGGGAATGAGCAAATGGACTCTGAGTAAACTAAAACTTTAATAAGGCTTCTGTTAGTTTTACATTCCATTGTCTTGGTGCTTACTTAAGCACATACAAGGATTTTGTGAGTCTAGATACTAGTTTATACTCCCCTGACTCTTAAATCCTTATGGAAGATCCATATAAATTTCATCATAGAGGTCACCTTGTAAGAAAGCATTGTAGACATCTATTTGATGTACATTACGTTTTCTGTAAGCTGAAATTGTTAAGACAGTCCTTACTGTCACCATTTTTACAACTAGAGAAAAGGTCTCCTGATAATCTATTCCTTCTTTTTCACTATAGCTTTTGGCTACAAGTCTAACCTTGAATCTTTCTATTTCTCATGTGGCTTTATACTTGATTTTGTAAATTCATTTGAACCATAAAGGATTTTCCTGCTGGTAAAGAAATAGCTTCCCATGCATGATTGCTTTCAAGTATTTTAATTTTTTATTTTATTGTATCAACCCACCTAGGATCCTTGACTGCTTCTACATAAGAGTTAGGTTCTATAGTTGTAGAGAATATAGAAATATTTGCTTAGTATTTGGGTGAAATATTTTCATAAGACAGATATTTGGATATGAGATAGGTTACATCATGATTAACATTTAAAGAGACAAAGTCTTTCATCCATATAGGAGGATGTTTTTCTTTATCAAATCTTCTAGTAGTAATTGTTTGTTGAACCTGATGAGTTTCAACTAAAACTATAGGAGGATCAAATGAAGGTTGATCCTACTGTAGAATATCTTCTGTTTGTGAATCAGTTGTAGCTGTAGTTTGAGTAGTATTTATTGTTTCTGCATTTTCTTGTATATCAGAATTGTTTTGATACATTTCAGTATTAGTGTGATATGCATCATAGATTTCAGCACTTGGATTTTGAGAATTAAATATAGGCTGGTTGTAACCTTCTGGTTGCCTATTAGAGTCGCACACGAAATTGAGTCATTAATTCGATGTGACCTAAGATATTTGAAGCCTACGTCACCTGATAGAATTATGAAATCAGATATATAATGCTCATATTATGATACTTATTAATGCCTTGGTTGAAAATTCACTTTCTGAAAAGATCAAAAACCCCTTTGCTAAGACAATCCAGAGATAAACCTCAAAAGTTTTGTAAAACTTTCTAATTTTTCACTGTAGAACTAACTATTAGAGAATAGAATTGAAATCTTGAAACTCAAACAAGTATTTCACAAAATAATAGACAAGCGTATTGCGAATCTCATAAAATAATAACAAGAAATTCTAAAGGTTTTAGAACTGTTGAAGAGATAACAAATTTCAGTAGACGGTGATAGATGGAGAGTGAGAGAGAGGCGTGTATTTTA